TATATGCATTTTTTATATTTGAAGCCCCCCCATATATAGGGAAATAGTCTGATTTAAAAAAAAAGTATATCCAATGAAAGATGTATATAAATACTACTTCTCATGAAAAAATTGTATTGATCCATACATTTTTTAAAAAGTTATAGCACTTTAAAGTAAAAAATGTAAATTATAAAATCGAAAATTTTCACACAAAAGTAGCATTCGGTAGCCGTTTTCACCATGAAGACAAGTCCAAAGGTCAAATTTTTTTTTTTCAAATTAAAGTACATTACATTAGCTTTAATTTAAGATATATATAAAAGTGTCAGACCTTCCGGAACATTTTCAAAAGTTAAGTTGAAAAAGTTAATTTTTTGTGAAAAAGTTGTCATTTTAAATCCCCCCCTGTGGGCAGGTTAAGTGTCAGATTTACAAAAAAAATATACCAAATGATAGGTAAAGACATCAAGCATCTATATAAAAAAAAATTATATTGATATGTTCATTTTTGAAAAAGTTACGGCAGTTTTTAGTAAAAAAAATTGAAAAAATTTCGAAAATTAGCGATTTTTAAATTTGTAATTTTTTTGGAGGTTTCCCCCATTTATAGGGAACGATGGAAATTTTTTCAATTTTGAAGGGTAATGTCTTCGACTAGATACGATTTGTGATCTTTTGACGTATCGTTGAAAGAAATCCGTTCGGTGAGAGCTGAGAAAAAGTGGTAACAGACACAAAAAAAAAAACACATCTTAGTAAAACCAATACCTTCTCAGCTTCGCATCGAAGCTAAAAAATGTTCAGAAACATTTACATTGTTATTGATATAAATCTCATTATTTATGATACATTTATACTACAATAGTGCATATACGTGACGTTATGTCAATATTGTACATATTTTATGCTTATTTTTCTTAATATAATAGTTTTATAATCAAGAAACATAAATCACATATTTCAGTATAAAGTGAATTATTTTCATTTAAAATCACATATGCACCTAAATATTTTAAATCAAAAATTTCTATAACATTTTAGCTTTATTATTATTATATAGTGTTCAGTTAGGAAACGGGTTTTTATTGTTCTCGTTGTTTGTAACAATTAACTGAGAAAGTCCAGTTATTTCTACGATAAATTAAACAAGTTAAGTTTAAAAGTTATACGAAATTAATTTTATAACTAGTTAATGCTTATTTTAGATCACATTTATAATTACATTCCAAGAAATTAAATTTAATTTTAAAAAAATATAGTTTTTGGCGACAGAACATTAAAGTTAATTGTAGACGACACATAAGCTGATAAATAAACAAATAACTGGACAGACAACGATTTATTTATAATTATAAGCGAACCGTTAATTATAAATCATTCAATTACTCACAGAATATAATTTTGATTTTGATTTTTGTATTTAATTATATATTGTTCTCGATTTATTAGCTATATAATGTTTTTTAAGTTTATCCCTATTGCCTTAGTATAATGAAATGTAATATATTATACTAATAAGTTAATTTTTTCTATGTGTTATAAAAAAATAAAATAATAACTTCCTAAAATAATATAAAAAGATTTAAAAACCTACCATCAATTAATAATTAGGAAAAGTCGAGCGAGTTCTGAGAACAGTTGTAATAATTATTGTACTAACAATGGTGGTGGAAATGGCATTAGCCTCTATTATTCAAAGATCAGTAGTTTGCCTTCTACAGTAGCTGGTGTTCATTTTTCATAAAATTTTACTCATTGTCTGTGCCTCCAGATTAAATTCTAGTGATGTAAGTAACAACATGTTTAAATATTCTAATAGTTAATATTAAAGTGTGAAAATGAAAAATAATATTACAATTTATTTCCTTATAGTGATATACTTCAATAATAATATTAGTGCTATGTGTAAATAAATAATAGATAAAATGGTTGAAAGCTTAAAAAATAATTTTATTCATGGATATCTGTTTGTAATTAGAACACAGATTTGTTCATTTTCATGTGAAAATAAGAAGTAACACTATAGAGGTTACTTTTATTACACCATATTTAAAAAATATCTTATTGTGATGACCTCTTATTACATATTTAATTATACTTTAAGTCTTTTACCATAATTTTTGATTAAAATAAAAGTATTTAAAAGAAAAATACATTGATATAATTAAGTTTTCGTTAGAATAATTTTTAATAATTTTTTTGTAATTGTAAATGTGTAATTTATAAATCTCTTAATGTTTTATTTAATAACATATTTAATATTGTATATATATATATATATATACTGGGGTCATCTATAAAGCACTAATTTTTTCAGTAACTATTGAATATTTTCAATTTCTGTAAAGGTAAATATTGTTTAATTCAATAAACGCAACAGTATATGTATTTAAACATTTTTTTTATCCTTTCAGAGATAAAAAATTTAAATTTTTTTATAAGAGCACTTATTTTTAGTTTCAAAAAAAAAAAAAAAAAATTGGTAACTTTAGAAAAATAAGTATATCTTTTAATAATATCATAACTTGTATTTTTTAAAACTCGTTTAAAAATTTTTTTTAAAATACGATTATTTTGGAGAATAAATACAAGTTTTAAAACAATATTTAAAGTAATTTCATTTAATAATGCAATAATAATTATTATTTATAAGCAACACAATGATTTTGGAGGTATGTATAATAATTTCCATAAAGTGTACTATGTGATTTAATCGTGAACGACGATGAAATGTCGATTTAATATCGATCTTAATCTATCAAAAATCATTTCGTTAACGATTTTTCTTTTCCTATTCTTTATGAATTATATGGTTTCAATAGACTTGACAATAATGTAGTTTCTTAATTAAAAAATAATTTCCCAAGAAACAGCCATTAATTTTTTATTCTGGGGAGGATGAGGGTTCAACAAAGCATGATTCCTGATGTAACAACTGCCGGGTTTGATTACCCCGAGTTATTCGTACCATGACGTCTTTATCGCATTTACAGTTTCAAAAATGATAATCACTCGTGTTTCTACTAAATAATAATAGTAATTGAGAGATCATCCATTTTAACTGTACATTGCAAAAGTTCATATAAATCTTGTGTTCTTAGTTACGCAATTTTGCACACTTGAGTTGTATAAATAATAACTATTATTAAATACAATGCAAAGAACCAAATATGATTAATTTGTTTACTTTTGTCAATTGTGGGATACTTTAAATACTTATAATATACTAATAATTTAAATACTTTACATTATTTTTCTTGATAAGTAATATATACGTGTTTGCATTTTAGAATGATTTTTTTAGCGCTTCTATCAACTTTTTTGTTGTTTAAGGCTACAAAGAGTGACATAGTAGAGTTGACATTCCCAGAAGAAATAAAATCTATAGCCGATTCATCGGTTATTGAAAATAACGCTACAACGCCATGTGACAGGTATCTTAGGTCGGCTGAGGTAGAAATCCGAAATCCTAGAAATCACAAGTTTATCACAACAAATGGATGGGATCGTCATCGACCTCACCCTGAACTCAATGTATATCCTCGTGATGAAGATACTACATTACCTGTCACAAATACTTACTATCATAATCAACAACATTACGAAAATGTCTATAATTCTCGGCAACAGCAACAGCCCCCCCCTATAAGAACGTCTAAGCGTATAATTTATTATGCCACTTTGCCAGACATTAAACGACCAAATTATTCTCCACAATATCCAGCTGAACTATTTTACTCTCCTGTCGATTTACGAAATTTAGATACTAATAGGTTTGGACTGTTTTAAACAATTGAATTTATTTACAAAATATTTCGCCTTTTTTATGCGTTTTTTTTTCTAGACCAAACGATGAACTACATTCACGTTTGTTACCCTACGAAAACAGTTTCAATCGAGGTCCAAATTCTGTTACGAACTCTGGAACGTTATTAAGTAGGTATGACGAACCAGCCGAATTTCGTGACGCTTTTTTACGGTCCAATGAGTTTTCGTCTAAATTTACGCCTTGGTCAGAATCTTTCAATAGAATTTCTGAATGGGAAAAGAAACCATATCATAATAGAGGACCCGTGTGGGATAAAAATTCGTATAACAGGAATTCCGTGTGGGACAAACAACCATACAGTCGAGATTCCACGTGGAATAAAGAACCATATAATCGAGATGTTTCATGGGACAAAGGGCAGTTTAATGAAGGTGCATGGGAAAAACAATTAGTGGAAGTTCCGTTACAAAAACCTCAAAATATAATCAATGATAAAAATTCGGATGTTACCGTTATCCAGTCTGGAGTTATTGATGTCAGAGGAGATCGACACAACACACCATCACCCAAATTTACAATTGTAGATGTTGACCCAAGACCTTACTATCAACAACCATTGTCTGCCCGGCAAGAGCAACAGATAGGGAGGTCAATGCACTATGAACCTCTCCAACCTATACTACCATTTGTACAGTATGACGCACAACCACCAAATTCACAATACAGTCAACCACAAAGAGTTCTCCAGATGAAACCTTTTACCAGGTATAAGTTATATATATAACTTTTAATAATCCATTAAGTAATTTCACTTAAAATAAATAATATACGTAAGACCTTACAATTTTTCCCGAGAGTAAAATCTAATGTAATTTAAAGTCCTAATTCAAGTTTTTATAATGAATATTTATCGTTATTCAATTTATTTTGTATAAAAGAGCTCTGGCTTATATAAATCATAGTCATTTTTTAGTAATGATGCCCCAAACTAGTTCTCTTAAACAGACTTTGGATAAACATTATATGTTAATAATCTTTTACTATACTTATGTAACACTCAAATAGTTTTCGCTAATTCAAATAAGGTGGTTTCTAATTTTATATTACATTACAACATTATAACAGCGCATAGTTAAGGGCTATAGCGATTTCCTCAAATAGAGAAATTTCTTTACTAAGAATACTTTATGATAAATGATTTTTTTGTCTCCGAAGAGAGGGTACAGAAATTAAATTATTGAGTTGATCTCTTACTCAGCAATGATTCTGTCCGTGGCTGAACCTCAAACACGTGTTGAATAGTAAGCATCAGACACGGTTCTTAAAAAAAAATATTTTAATTAAGCCCCGATTTCACTCCATTTGATTCTTGTGTAAATTGAATATAAATTTTCTTTATAGGACATACTTTTATATTTCAAAATTAATTTAGATTTTTATGCTAGTTTAGATTATATAAAAAATTTTAAACGTAAAAAAGTCACAGCCTCTTAAAGATGTTGAATCAGTAACAAAAACATAGGGCCATTATATTCAGTTATATAATTTTGGTTTTTAAAAGTTTAAACCTAACTAAGTAGCATATATAGAAAAATAATAAATATATTTTTTTGATAAATCAAACAAAAAAAACCCAGCACAGAGGGGTCGCAGCACAGTGGTGACGTGGCATAGTTGGATCAAGTATAATGATATCTGACAGTGATTAAAATCACTATCAAAAAAAAAAAAGACGCTTCGATGCAAATCTCTAGATAGTGTTTAATTTTAAAAAATTCGTGAATTATTCCAAAAGCCACATGATCTGCTAGTTCCTTATTAATATCCTGATTAAGATAAAGTATATCGAATGAAAAAAAGATTATTAAAAAATAATATTTCTCATAAAAAAATTGTGTGGATACATACACTTTTCAATAAGTTATAGCAATATAAAATTAAATATAATATAAAAAATAAAATCGAGAATTTTCACACAATAATAGCATTCGGTAGCCATTTTCACCGTGAATATAAACTAAAGTCCGAATTTTTTTTTTTTGCATAATAAAGTAAATTACATTAGCTTTAATTTAAGATATATATAGAAGTGTCAGACCTTCCGGAACACTTTCAAAAGTTAAGTTGAAAAAATTAATTTTTTGTAAAAAAGTTGTCATTTTAAATCCCTACCTGTGGGCAGGTAAAAAGTCAGATTTATAAAAAAAATATACCAAATGATAGGTAATGACACCATGCATCTATAAAAAAAAGAATTATATTGATATGTTTATTTTTAAAAAAGTTACGGCAGTTTTTAGTAAAAAAAATT